GGTTCTTAGACGGTCACAGAAAGCGGAATTGGGCATGGCATCCCATGGATGTCAGGAGGTCCGGGAAGGGTTAAACCACACGCAGAAGCATCATTGGCTTGGACGCATAGAGCCATTAATTTCAACGCCACATTCAAAATAGCAACCTGTGAGGTAACTTTTTGAGTACATGACGCTGCAAATGTTCCGTTTCCGAAGAGCTGCTACCAACGAACTCCACTGCTGCTGGGGGACAGTAACATAGACGAATGGATAGGCTCGTAACCACTGCGCTCGGAAAATATGGCAAAGTGTACTTCATCTCGACAGCGCTCGCCCACTAGTTACGGTGAAGGTCTGACGAATGCCTCCAAGCTTCTCGTTAGACATTATGACCCTCCTGTTGTGTTCGGCAGAGCTGACCTCAACAGACTGCCATCTGCATCTGTTGCTGGCAAATCAGTTAAAAGATCGATGTGATATATGAACCGGGCCCACTCGAAAAGGACTTCGAGCTTTTGCCTCGAAAACTCAGGGTTTCTAATCAAACGACGTCCACATATTGCCTTTCAGTAGATTCCAAAATTCTACAAATCCACAAAGCTGTGACGTGACAAGACGCTATGAAGCAACTCACACATTCCAGCTTTTCACGCATGTCAAGTGACTGCCCCCTCCCCACCCCTAGATTGGCTACACTCCCCCTGGCTCACGAATTCCCTCAATTCTCGTGACACCATAGTAGCGGGCAGCAGTCCCACTTACATACATTTCGCGCCTACCGTATTCAAAAATACGGCGTGCCCATCCCACTTGTATTGCACCCAAACGATTGTGAGGAAGGTGACCAGAGATTCGGATGATTCAGGATGAGTGAGCAAACTCCTCTTAAAGCCAGAGTAGGAAACTTCGTTCAATCACCTGGGGAATCCTTTCCACCGGTTGTTCTTTGTAATATTCAGCACCAAAAGCTTTACAAAGTATGCATGAAAAAACGACGAGATGCGTAAGAGCGAAGCTTACATGTTGGATATTGCGATTTAGAAGAACTTCTTTTGCAAAAATGGATTAAGCGTAGTCCGCACGACCAACTGCCTCAAAATGCGTCCCTCTCCTTTACTTCAACATGTCTTACTAATCGGTCCATCTCAGCCACAAAGGAGACAAAATATTAGAGATTTCGCAGGAATTTGAAAGCGGAGGCGGTATTTGTTGTCACTAACTATTTTTTTTTCGTCTAGGAGCTTTGAACAAGTATTTCATCTCGATCAAAAGTTTCTTTTTCAATTCGCCGAAGGGTTAAAATGCGCTAATTTATTTCAGTTTTATTTATTATTTCAATTTGGCTGATTCTTGTAGGAGTGACCAGACAAAATGTGCACCTTTATGACACGCGCTATTTGTGCCCTAATCAGGGGAGGCATACAACTTCCCATGGAACTTTGAATTAAGACCCATATAGATGGATAGAATTTACAACGCTAATCACAAATATGGAAACTAAAATTGCGAAAAATAAAACACGCCTGCCAGCACAGTCCAAGCACCAAATTGGGTGTATTAAGCGTACCCATATGGACCTGCTAACCTCCGGTTTTCAGAGCAGTCTTGATTAGCGGAATGTTCCGCATCCCCTACCCCCTAAAATCATCGACTCTCTCCTGTCGTGTCAAGTCGATAGCTAACCGCTTCCCAGGTGGTGAATGCCAGATGGCTACACCGCACTCATACGTTCCCCAACCCGCCTATTTCGGGCTGCTCACTAACTTTCTTTGCAGTCTATTTTGCAGTTTTGGTCTCCATATTTGTCATCAGCGTTAGAAACACTATCGATCTATGTGGGTCTTAATTCAAAGTTCCATGTGAAGTTGAATGCCTTCCCTGGTAAGTTCCTTGCTAATGGATGCAAAATTTGTAGCAAAAGATTTTTGAATTCCGATACATTAAGTCATGAAATTAAGGCATACAGT